GACACCAAGGTAAGGCCACCTGCACACCTGACGGGCTCCCTGAGCCCCGAGCGACGCCTTAAGGCGCAGAGAAGTCAAGCTTCACTCTGACGCCGTCTCAGCCAGGCGGAGTTAATTGATCCTCGATGGTAATACAAAGAGTTTTAAATTAGACTCTGTGTTGGTGTTATTGACTCAGCAGCTTCCTCCTCCTCCTCCTCCACAGGTGCGTTTCTCCTCTCTGCTGATGCTCATGGAGGTGGCGTCCAAACTGAAGGAAAACTACATGGCGCTGCTGCCGGAGACCATCCCCTTCCTGGCTGAGCTCATGGAGGGTGAGGCGCACACACACACTCATATTAACTGTTGGCTCTAAGATGTAATGTAGCTGTCGGCCACAAGAGGGCAGCACATCTCTGACAAGAGAAAACATCTAGATCCAGATGTTTCAGAATAAAAGCACGACAGATGAAACACATTTTCACCATCATGGAGAAACATCAGTAAAGGTTCAGATCAAATACGACATCGGAGACGATAAGATGCAAACAGAAGGCAGTAAAATATCACATTCGTGTTTCGGTGGAGCTTCGCTCCACCTGTGAGGCCAGGTAACGGCGTAGGCTCAAACCTGCTGTTTGTTTTGCAGACGAGTGTGAAGAGGTGGAGCTGCAGGTCCAGAAGGTGATCCAGGAGATGGAGAACATCCTGGGAGAGCCGCTGCAGAGCTACTTCTAACACGCACGCTGGTGTGAAGCTTCAGCAGAAACATGAATATTCTGATGTTTTTGATGTTTTTGATGTAAGAAATAAACATTTGTGTCAAATCTGCTTTTTATTTACTCTGAACCTGTTTGAAGAAGGTGACATGAGTCAGACACTGATCCTGCTGGGCAGCGGCAGCTGTGGAAGCCTGCTGATGCCAACTGAATGAAACAGCTGACAGCCGTCACCAGTATCACCACTTTAAGGTTACCATGGTGATGATGTTTCAACAGGTGTCCACCTGCTTTAAAAATCACGAGTGTCCCAGATGTTCGTCCACAGCTCTGTGGTTTCCAGGTGTTACAGATGTGTCGGCGAGGTAAAAAGAAACGCAGCGTTTCTGCTCCAACTCCTGGGTCGAGTTTAAAGGCCGGCTTGAGGACGCTCGTCTCACTCAGAGGATTCTGGATCATAAAGGTTGGATCTGCTGGTTTTGGGGAGACCGCACTGGAAGGAAGAGTTTTCCTGTGAACGCTGTGGCAGTCCCACCGTTTAACCCTGTCATGCATGAACTGTGACAAACTCAAGCAGGATTAAATGTTTCTATTCATCATCAGGCAGGAAAAGATGAATAAAAATACTTAAGAGTTAAATAACAGTAATTACAGTGAAACACATCACACATCTGTAGTAACAATAAACGTCCAGTGGGTGGCAGAGTATGGAGTGACCCATCAGTGTCCAATGTAGTGGTTTATGTGCAGGTAAACCATCAACACTGACACAAATGCAAACAGCTGTAACTGTAGGGAGCGCTATGGTGAAAGGGTCAAATGGATCGTGGCGATCGTGGTTCAAGAGTTAGCAGCTCGTCTTGTAA